CCCCCCCCCCCCCCCCCCCCCCCCCCCCCAAGTAAAAGAAGCTATTATCGGCGAAGCCTCCGACCAAGCCCCAAATCCAAGAAACAGATAGACCACCGAAAAACTCTAGTTGGCCGGAGAAGTCACTGATAAATGTCTCTGAATTTTCAGCCACCATTTTCGTCCAAAACCCCTAATTACCATCTCCGTTAAACCTCCTTCCCACCAAGCCATACCAAACAAATCAAAAATAACCCAATTCTATATCCCCTTCCACAAAAATTTAAAGAAAGAAAAAGAAAGGAGCAATGACCAGAAAAATTTCTTCGGCACTATAATCAGAGATTTTCTTTTGCCGACATCGAGTTGTGTGGATAACCTTTTCTATTTTTCTTCTTATGAAGTCTTGTACTCAATAGCACAAGATTAATCTTTTTCAAGTAAAAATTAACAATGGAAAGGGGACGGGGACGAGATGGAATTGCATCACTGGGGATGGGATATAAAACTAAAGAAATGGGGATGGGGAAGGAGGACGAAGTGGGCTGGGAGGAACAGAGGAAGCTTTAGTTTTTTTTCTTTTTTATTTTTTCTTTTTGTTATCTTTTCATTATTTATATTTTTTAAAATATTTTTTCCATCAAAGTATTACACTCACGTGCTTTTTCAGTGTGGTGTGCACACAATTTGGTCATGTCAGCTATGTTGCCTCCACATAGGCATGGTCAACGGTCAAAGTGGTTTATTAATTAACAAATATCGGAGTTAGAGTGTTCAAATGGAAAATGTATAAGTTTGTGTACCGGGTTGGCAATTGGACGCAAGTTTAAGTGGCCACGAGGCCATGTTGGCTTTAATATTTGGCTAATATCTTATCTTAACTTTGAAAATGGTAAAGCCTACAGAGATTAACATGTGATCAAGTTACCTATTTAATTGTAATATTACACGAAGTCATTAGTGATGTCTGTTCTTGTGAGTGCGACAAAAAGGAAAGTATGGTTAATTAGTTACTTAATTAATTTGTTTAAATTGTTACTTCACGTTATCTTGCTTTTTAACAACATAAAATAGAATAGTTTGGTTTACAAGCATAAACTTTATGACATAGATTATAATACGATAAATAACAATTAGTGAAATATTACTAACATTGATTAAAATAATTATACTTCAATTTTACATTCTTATCTTATTATGCTTTATCTGTATCCATTTCATTCTAGCACTCATATTCACGTGGTGATGTGAAGGAACTTCATGTCCCAACTCTTAACAAATAAATATTCATAACATTAATTACGATTTGGCTATTTTTACAGTGATAGTCAATCAGCGAATCAATCTCTTTTAGCTAATGCTTAGTCATCGTATTAAAATATGAATTTATGATGCATATTTAATAAATGCGTTTGGATTAAAAATATATTTTGTATTTCAATTTCTTTAAAAACTAGCTTTGAAAATGTTCTTGAAAATTCAGTGAAATTCTACCTGTAAGTTATTTATTGTTTCTAAAGAGGTCTTGTTTTGATTTCCAACAAATTGAAATTCGTTCTTCATTTTAAACATGGTGATTTTAATAATGCAAAGTGAGCCTTTCATTTATTAACACGAGATAAACTAGTTAAACACTACATTCGTCCTAAACAAAAGGAAGACATATTCGTTAATGCAAAAACAATTTAAAAGTCTAAACTAAAACAGTAGAAAAGGTAAAAACAAACCACTTTTTTAAGCGCGTATTCTAAAGGAGAGGTAAATTTGAGTATGGGTAGGTACGTGGCAATAATGAAGGGACGCGGGACCAAGCACCCAGGAAATTTCGTACCAAACTACTTATCGACAGTCGAAGTATTTTGTCGTTGACCAATCATCCACTCCTATTAATTCCCAACTCAACAATTAACTAAACCTATTTTTATATAAAGTTGTCCCTTAACTTTTCTACTACTAGTAGTTTCTGTACAAATTGCTGCACTTATATTGATTAGATATTTGATTCCTAAACCCAAATAATAATAAACGTGAATATTGATAATTAGCATCAAGAACCTCTCTGTTGTGTATATATGTTCTTGTTGGTGAGTGATCGACTCAAATTTTGAGAATTTCAGTTCTTGGGGTTTTTTTCTGAGAGCTGAAAGAGGAAAAATGGGAGCATGTGGATCGAAACCAAAAGGGTGTGTGGGAATTAGGGGGCGGAAGTTTGTTCATAGGAAGAAACATAAAATTAGCAGAAGGAGAAATGTGTCAAAGACCAATTCGGCTTCTCATAATCTCAGTAAGATTGAACCATCTGTTTCTTCAGATCTTTCTTACAACAATCCTGCATTTCAAGGTATTCTATTTTTGATTCTCTACTTACTATTTTCTTTCTGAAATCATGAAATTTTAATCCTTAGCTCGTTTTTCAATTTTTCCATTTAAGATTTTTCCCCATCTAGCTCGAAAATAGGTAAAGTTAGAGATGTATTTGTTGATTAGATTCATTAAACAATTTGAGTACCTAGGAAATTCTAGTTGCTCTTTGAATCTAGGTAGTTGATTTCTTGCTATTAGCTTTTACTGACTTGAGTATTGAAATATCTTGTTGAGATTATTTGTTTATGAACTTTTTCATTTTTATGTAGTTTTCTTTTATTGAGTTTCCAATCTCGTTTGGTTTTTGTGTATATCAGTCAACACCCTAATGGAAAATTTTCTATATATTTAGTAAAGATCTTAAATTTCTGTACTTGGAGGCTTATATAAAGCACGACTCAAATTTGTTTTCGTCATATTATGTGCCCTAAACAGGAAATGCAGAGTCTTGGTTTGACCCGGAGATGGTGATTGAATCTGACTGTGACGACGATTTTCATAGCGTTCAAGATGGTAAGTCATCTGCCTCGTTAGAAGTTCAAATTCATTGCATTGTTTAGGTCTCTAATCGATGTTATATTGTAACTTCAAAATGTGCAGTCTTTTCACAAAGTGGTTCTTTTTCGAACGGGGTTTCTCCAAGGTTTTCTGATTTTGTGTATCACAATGGAAATGCTACTTCTGGCCTCCCGGCAAAACATGAACAATCATTTGGAAGTCAAGAACCAAATGTTGTCAAAGAGGATGCTGCAAAAAGAAACTCATCAGCAGATTCTCAAGTTAAGTCCAACAATCCTCAAATTGAGATGGATGGCCCGAGCCCTGTTGATAAAACGCCCCGAGGCATGGATCAAGGTGGTGGTAGGGTTGAAACAAGATTTTTCCACAATTGTGGGAGTCAGAACCCATGCCTGCCTTGTCTTGCTGGCGTTGCCTCTTCGGATGAAAAGAAAAAATCGCTAAACCCGAGCTCACCACGCACCCGTAGAAAATCATCCCTGACCCAGATGTTATCTTTTAGATGGAGAGAAACAACTTCATGTTCGGCTTTACGTAAGTGCTTTTACCTTGTATATACTTTTAATGGCAGTCAAAGTCTCCAATTGGCTGCTTTTCTTGCATAAACCGCTTCTGAAACCTTAAAAACATTTTGAGATTAGTACTCTATTATTTCATCTTGAGTTGGTCAGATAGATCAGCTGTAACCTATCTAAACATACATTAAATGATAGTAGTTCTTGTAAGATGAACAAGATTTTGTCTAGTTGATCTGTAAATAGGGTGGACAGCTTTAGTGCTGATGAATGTACTGTTACCATTTCCCAGAAAAATTCATAGATGACAATTGAGGGAGTTAATTTTTCTACATAGAGCTACAAGCTACAACTGAATTCGCGTTGACCTTGAAAATGTAATTGTGTTATGTTACTGACTTGTCTGCTTTTTTATCTCCAGTATCGCCAAAAGCCGTTCTTCAAAGACCAATAGCTGGTTCTCAAATTCCTTGCAGCCCGTTGGGGAGGAAAATGTCCGACTGCTGGTCATCAATTGAGCCAAATACTTTCAAGGTCCGTGGCAAAAACTACTTTAGGTAAGAGAAAGCTTCTGATGATGGACTCTATCTGTGACATGAGATTATAAAAGACATGTCTCCAACTTTGTCCATTTCTTTCTTGAGTAAATTCCTTGTGTTTATTTTTGTTCAATTGAATATAGAGATCCCTCTAAATTCTTTGGCAGGGATAAGAAGAAAGAGTTTGCTCCAAACTGTGCTGCATTTTATCCTTTCGGGGCTGATGTATTCTTGTCAGCAAGGAAAATTGATCATATTGCACGCTTTGTGGAACTTCCAGCCATCGATTCATCTAGTGAAGTTCCTGCTATTCTTGTTGTGAATCTTCAGGTATTAGAATATTTTTCTTTTCATATCTTCCTACGAGATTAGACTTATTTTTTATTGCTCAGATCCGGCAATTAAAACCTGCCCAGTGAAGATGCTGGCAAAAAAGATTTTGGATAATGTCATGCTATTAATGAATGACTGCTTGTCTTAAAAATTGATTGACTGTTGTCTCATTTCAGATACCGTTATACCCTCCTGCAATCTTCCAGAATGAATATGATGGAGAAGGGATGAATTTTGTTCTCTACTTCAAACTTTCAGAAAATTACTCAAAAGAAATGCCAGTTCAATTTCAAGAAAATCTCCAGGTAAGGATGGTGAATTTTCTTTACATGACTACATTTTCTGATTTCTCAGTAACACTTAGTAAAACAAGTACAACCTATTAATCCAGTAACTGAATATATTTGTTTTTAATGTGTAAATACAGATTTGCCCTTTTTGAATAAATTGCTAATTAGTTATTCTTTTCCATGATCTGTGGGACAGAGATTAATACATGACGAAATAGAGAAGATCAAAAGTTTTCCCATGGATTCAAATGCACCCTTTAGGGAAAGATTGAAATTCTTGGGCCGAGTTGCAAACACGGATGATCTTCAATTAAGTGCAGCCGAGAAGAAACTCTTGAATGCATACAATGAAAAGCCTGTGCTCTCACGTCCTCAGCATGAATTTTATTTGGTAGGTTAATCCAAGAAACTTTGTGCAGTTAGCATCATTGCATTTATTTTCTTCTGACTTGGTTATATTTACTATTTAGGCTCTGAGAATTGAACTCTGAATCCACCTTTATGAGACTTGTAAAAAACAAGACGACTTTTTAACTGTGCCCCTTAAAATATTGACATTTTTCTACTGCATACAAACAATATATCACCTTTTAGCTCTTACGAAAACAAACTTCCAACAAAACCATTTATGCCTCCTTCAAATAAAAGTCTCTTTTTGCATGATGGTGGAACCTGGACAAAAGGAATATTCAATCAGATCTTCGCAATCACATTTTTGTCGTGCAAATTAAACAACAACTTATAACTTTTCATGTGGATATTCCCTCCTTTGCTATGTACAGACATTCATGTATTTTGCATGTAAAATCAAACAAAATTCTCTTGGTGTTCATACTGAAATCTTTAGTGTTGGCTGTTGCAGGGCGAAAACTATTTTGAGATTGATTTAGACATTCACAGATTCAATTACCTCGCTAGAAAAGGAGTGGAATCATTTAAAGACAGATTGAAAAACTGTGTCCTTGACTTCGGTCTGACAATTCAGGTAACTATTAACAACTCTAAAGAGGATTTGGCTACCTCTTGAAGACTTGTATCTGATGTTACTTGTAAATATGGTGCAGGGAAACAAAGCAGAGGATTTGCCGGAAAATATGTTGTGTTGTATTAGAATGAAAGAGATTGACTACACCAAGTATCACAAACTTGGCTTCTAAACCATGGCAGAAACATCTGCAACAGACTCAAATGTTGCGAGCCAGTCTTACTGCATGATACTACACAGAAACCAACTTTTTCCTTGTCTCCAACTTTCATCTGAATGTATAGCCTTGGCCATTTTTTGAATTCTATCCTGTAGTGTATGCTAACACGAAAATTGAGAGAAAAGAGAGTTTTCTTCAACAGTTCGTGTTCCTGACCCTGAGAATGGAAATGAATTGATCGCACAGCTGGTTCATGTTATCCATACTTGTAGCAATTATCAGAAGTAACAATCTCGGTTCAAGAGAAGCTAGTAAAGCATTTACGTTAAACCCCAATTTTATGGGTCCCCAAAAATTGTTAATGAATTTTATCATTTTATTTTCGTTCAGAGAATATTGTAGGAAAAAAAAATTACAAATCTTTATAAAAAGAAAGCCAACTTTTTAACAATAGAAATATTTTAGAAATCTGAAATAAACTGTTTAGTTCTTTATATTAGTAAATAAAGTTTTTTAATTACAAAATTAAAGTAATGTATTACAAATACATGGTTAACATCTTATTAACTTGAATTAACTTATACCAATATATATAGTAATATTACTATAACTTCGATGTTTTATGTCTTGTAACAGTGTTACATTACAAAAACAAGTATGGAAATAAAGGTTACATTACACTACTTTTTGCATGTTTTTCCCTTATTAAAATTTGATTTTAGACCACCAATTTTATTAAGCCGCCGATACGTTTTCATGACGAATCAGTTTAAAAGATCCAAATTTTGGAAATTTCATATCCTTGAGAATTGAGATCATCTTTGTCAAAACGCGTACCAAATGGATTTCATTTATGTTGTACAAATTGGTTTATTGCTACGAACTGGGTAGAGTGTGCACAAGTTCTTGGGGCGGATCTAATGCATTAGTTACGGTTCCCGTGAACCCATTAACATTTGTATGGATTCTATATTTATATTGAAACATTCATTAAATGTATTAGAGTATTTAGCTTGGAACTCAGTCGGTTAATCTAAATATTATTGTATATTAACGTGACATTTCTGTAGGAACCCATAAACTTAAAATCATAAATTCGCCTTGTATGGGTACATTAAGTTTTTTACGCTCCTATCACACCTGTTGAGAAATTTGTGTAACATTGGTCATGTTGTCTTTCACTGTGTAATAATGATTCTTGCTTGTAAAGAACACAACTAGCGTAGAGTTATAACATATGGCACATGAAAATAAGAAAAGAATAAAACAAGAAAAGCTCCAACAAAATCTCTAGGATGCATGAGTTCTAGTGCATCCTCTAAAAATGGCAATGAAAGAGCACCTGGGCGGCTTACTTTTAGATCTAGAAGATGGTTCAGAGGTTGCCGCCGCATAAGAATTTTTATTTGTCTCTGTTCCGACAGATGTGGCGGCAACATTTGAAACCTCGTCAAATTGGATTCTTCTATATTTTTGAGAATTTCCGATTCCATGAGCAGTGGTTGTTGGTGGCCCGCCATCAACCGATATATTGAGTCTGTTGTCCCAAATGCGGCCGGAGGATCCTTGTCGCCGGAATGAAGATGATGATCTCTGTAATGTAGTCATGGATTAATCAAAGTTGTGTTGGAAATATTTGATGAATATTTCTCATTGTTTTTTATTTGGATTTTTGTTTTCCAACTGTTCATTAGTTTTCTAACTAAATTAACGGTTTTTTCTGTGGACTGTTATGTTTTTCATAATTTTCCTCTTTATCTTCTCTGGTTGGCACTTGGCAGTTAGAATTTCCATCTTTACGTATGAAATAATTAAGCCGGGGAGAAAATGGGCATCTTTTTATCCCAGGTTAAAAGTCCATTATAATTAATACTTAAATTAAGAATTTTTACGCTTATGCTAATTTTGACAAGCTAGATGAATCAGATTAGATAAACTCATCAAGCAAGGCAGTGAGGCACAGGGCTCTATAGCACCAGCCACCAAGTTACCAAATAATGTGATAAACGATGCTCTATTCTGCTACTAGCATATGGTGTCTAAAAGGGTAACATAATGTAAAAACAGATACACAACAATTGAGGATTCACTTTGCTCTACTGGTAAAATGATATAGAAAAATCCGAGTATGTATTCCTATCATGAGCACACATTACAACTCTTCCTACAATGACCTACAAAACCTTCATAGCCCACCATGGAAGAAGGATTTTTATCACATTCACCAGCAGGCGCAGTCAGGATTCTGATCGACACACTGATCTGTTGATGGTGTGTCGTCAATGGACCTTATATGAATCCACTTCGTAGCAGACTACTTCTCGCCTTCAATGACAGGGCAACTTCCATGCAAACTCAAAGGATCGGTTGTTGCATTAGGATGTACATTGAAAAACAACAATGCATCACCCTTCCTAGGTTTTACTGCAAACAAAACATGGATATGTCAGTATACTTACCATCTCACTTAATTTTGTGTCACTTTTATTCATAGGCAGATGCAGCCCATCTCAATGGGTTCAACTGAATTTCAAAGGTACATTGTTTTAAGTGCTTCACCAAGTTTAAATCTTGGATCCGACTCCCATTTTATTATCTAAATACATAATGTGCCTTACTGACTGAAAATGGCTAATACTACTTCCTACATGAATATGCTGATGGACACCTATAATGTCACATTGAAATTCACGGTGACAAATCGAATCTGCATAGCCATATTTAGCACAATCAGACCAGTCATCACCCTTTGGCTGAGATTCCGCGGCCTGCAGGTTTCAATAACAAAGAAGAAAAGAAAATTTTCGTCTCTAGTATTGTTAAAAAAGAAAAAAGAAAGCCAATAACAATTATACAAAACTGGAATTACCTCTGACCAAGGGAAAACTGTTTCTCCACCCTTTTCAACATCGGATAAATACATTAGGACAGTAGCCACGCGATGGCCACCATTTTCTTGATTGACCATGCCCATAAAATAATCATAATGTGGCTCCTATTTTTGCCCATTTTCATAATGCAATATCTGAATTGATTCTCCATTCTCTGAATAACAAGTTAGTATACAAAGTCAGAAATTCAGTTTAGGCATATAGTGATGAAGCCAATCAACACCACAGATTCCAAAGTACCTTCTGGGAGAAATGTCCAAGCAGCTATTCTGGCCTCCACATTAGCAACAACTTCATCCTTTAATGAAGAGAAACAAATAAAAAATTAAGTGTTCTTTCTCATCTAATACTTGTAACAATATTAACATTCAACACTAAATGTCCACTAGAGGTAAAGTTCTAAAAAGGAGAAGTAATAGCAACACAGAGAAGAGAGTCAGGACATGAACTAACCTGAGCTTTGACAAGAAACATGCCGGAGCTTGTCCGAACTTCACTTTCTATGCTCTCTCCTGATACATTGTCAGCTACCGTGGATTTCTCCAGTCTACCTTTAGCCTATATAAAGAAAAGGCTGGCTTTGTATATTCTTAGTAAGTAATAGTACTAGAAAACAGTCTTTTATACTACTTAGATAAAGTAATATGTGCCTAAGGAAAATTTCTTTAGTTTGGTAGCTAATTTTGTTGAATTTTTTTGATTTGGTAGTCAACTTTGTTTAATTTCTTTGGTTTGGTAGCCAACTTTGTTCAATTGTCAACATTGAAAAAGGAAAAGTGTGTGCAAATTATCAAATATTGTAGGCTTTAGAGAGTGAGGTTTCGGCTATAAAAGGAGAGTTTCAACTCTCATTTCTACACACCAACAAAGAGATAAAGAAAGAGTGAGGTTTTACAGACAAGATATAAGAAAATAGTATGTGAGAAAAATAGAGAGTGAGCGATATTGTAGTGAGGTGGGAATATCAAAAGAGGGTTATTTCTTTTGAGTATTGTAGTGTTCTTTGGAGTATTTTACTCGGACCTACAAAGTATAAAATTTCTTGCTATAGTGATATCAGTTGCTCGTCTCGGGGTCGTAGTTTTTCCCTTATTCACAAGGGTTTTCCACGTAAAAATCTTGGTGTCGTTGTCACTCTTTAATTCTTGTTAATTACCGTATCTCGGTGCTACGTTATTATTCCGCTTTTATTACTGTGAATATTATTTCTGTAGGGGGTCTATTCCCAACAACTGGTATCAGAGCACAAGTTCTGCTCATTCACAGAAATACTATTCATTGTCGGTAGTACTATACTCGGTGAAAAAAAAATGTCAGGAGTAAAGTACGAGGTAGCAAAATTTAACGGAGATAACGGTTTCTCAACATGGCAAAGAAGGATGAGGGATCTGCTCATTCAACAAGGATTACACAAGGTACTAGATGTTGATGCCAAAAAGTCTAATACCATGAAAGCTAAGGATTGGGCTGACTTGGATGAAAGGGCTGCTAGTGTAATCAGGTTGCACTTATCAGATGATTTGATAAATAACATCATTGATGAAGACACCGCATGTGGCATTTGGACAAGGTTGGAAAGCCTATACATGTCCAAAACGCTGAGTGTCAAATTATACCTGAAGAAGCAGCTATACGCCCTACACATGGGTGAAGCTATGAATTTTTTGTCATATTTAAATATGTTTAATGGACTAATCACACAACTCGCCAATCTTGGAGTGAAAATCGAGGAAGAAGACAAAGCCATCTTGCTATTAAACTAGTTGCCATCTTCATACGATAATTTGGCAACAACCATCCTGCACGGTAAGACTACCATTGAGTTGAAAGATGTCACATCGGCTCTTCTAGTCAATAAAAAGATGAGAAAAAAGCCTGAAAATCAAGGACAAGCTCTCATCACAGAAGGCAGAGGCATGAGTTATCAAAGGAGTTCGAGCAACTATAGTAGATCCGGAGCTCGTGGGAAGTCTAAGAACCGATCCAAATCAAAAGTCAGAAATTGCTACAATTGTGATCAACCAGATCACTTCAAAAGAGATTGCCCAAATCCAAGGAAGGGCAAAGGTGAAAGCAGTGGCCAGAAGAATGACGACAACACAACCGCCATGGTTCAAAACAATGATAATGTTGTCCTCTTTATAAACGACGGAGAGGAATGCATGCACTTGTCAGATCCAGAGTCGGAATGGGTAGTTGATACAACAACATCTTACCATGCCACACCGGTAAGAGAAATATTTTGTAGATATGTAGCAGGTGATTTCGGCCCTGTGAGAATGGGTAACACAAGTTACTCAAAGATTGCAGGGATCAGTGACATTTGTATCAAGACAAATGTCGGATGCACATTTGTTCTAAAGGACGTGCAACATGTACCTGATTTGTAGATGAACTTGATCTCGGGAATTGCTTTAGACCGAGATAGATACGGGAACTATTTTA